TGAATCTAAAAAACACATAAAAAGAAAGCCTAGATTAAGGTGAAAACGAATATCATATTTTTGTTGCTGAGAAATGAGTTATTGGAAAACGATTTTTGTTAAAACACACAAGAAGTCAAACAGTGCCAGTTTCACACCTTCACCGGCATTCAGACTGACTTGTTGAACAACATCCAAATGATTTCCCTTTACTTCTGTTTTAAATAAGTTCTAAATTTAAAAAATATATCCAGAGAAAGCCTAGGTTAAATTAAAAACGAATATTATTATTATRTTTTTGTTGCTGAGAGAAATAAATTACTTTAAAACGATTTTTGTTGTAACAAAGACTGTCGAACTATTTCAATGCCCTTTGTTGGTTTCATGATAAATTCCAAGTTTGGAGTAATTTCTTATGAGATAGACTCCGGAGAAGTTTTTTATTTAAGCAAAGCGGGAACATTAGCGAGCCTAGTAGTGAAAGATCTGCTTCCTAATGGAAGTAAAAAGATAAAGAACAAAAGGCTGTATAACAATAAGAAAATACACACGTATGCATTGACTGCACGCGATGAGTTTGCGTGAGCACTACACGCACTTGAAACGCATGTTGACATGTTACCATCCCTGCAAGCTGTAATGTAGAAAGCAATCGCAGTGTAGTGAATGGTTTCACCATAGAAAATACAGGATCACTGCCTCTAAGGCTTACCATTGTGCCTCACTAAAACAATCAACTTCACCAACAAAAGCAGTTGAAGAAGTTTTGGGTTACAAGAAAGGTTATTCCTCAAAAGCAATGGAAGATGGTCTTAAACAAGAGCCAATTATAATCAATGAATACATCAAAGAGAAAGAATGGTCTAAGTGTTGCTGTGAAAGATTGTGGCTTTTTTGTTAGTTCAACACATGGTTTCCTTGGGGCAAGTCCTGATGGCTTAGTCACCGGACATGATGGTAACTCTGAATCGACCGGTTTGCTGGAAATAAAGTTCATTCAAATAGATGAGTCTGAAACACTCACAGATGCACTAGTACAAAAGAGAATTTATGTCTCTATCAATGATTGTGTTGAAGTTAATACAAAGTACAAATATTATTATCAAGTCCAACATCAGATATTTGTGACAGGCAAGACATGGACTGGTTTTGTTGTAAAGGGCTCATTGGATAGCACACTGTACATAGAGACGTTTCACAGATTTACACCATTATGGCTCAT